AGGTTGAAACTTTATTACTAAGCAAAAATCTCACATACAAAAATTTCGTTTCAGTAGCACTTTAAGTGTATTTAGCACTGTTGTGCTAATTTGTAAGACTTAAATAAATAAATAAATAAATAAATAAATAAATAAATGAATGAATAAATAAATAAATAAATAAATAAAAAATCACTTGATAAAAAATAAATAAACAAATACTGCAAATAGAAGATAAACTATTAAGAATCCCGACTGGTGGGAGGCTTACCAGCTGACTATTTACACAACGCGGTGGAAGAGTTGAACTGCGGACCACCGGAAACCAATCCAGATAGTAGCAGGGTGCAGGATTTGAACTAGGGACCTCCAGATTTCTAATCCAGAGCCTTCGCCGCCAAAGTAGCCGTGTCTCCAGATTGTTATACGTCACACAATTTCTTTCACTCACTCACTCAATCCCGAATTGCCCAGTGGCACATTCCCGCTATTTTATTGGCGGAATTCAGTTATGGAAATCCACTCTGAGTTAGTATAATTATTGTTTCTATTATCAATGTTTCTAGGATAGCATCATTTCATAATATGATTCTGAATTCCTTCTTCTGCATTAGTTCCAGAGAAAGAAAACAAATCGCTTTGCCTGTCTCCTATAAAGGTAAGTGTATAAATACATGTAGATATCTCTTTTCAGAAGGCAAGATTTTGAACAGTTTAAATATATTATTATGAATGGTGAAAAGCAGCTTGAAATTAAGAGAAAACCTCATTTTGTCTCCTTGAAATCAGTTTTATATTATAGTCCGCTGCAGGAAAACGGTCATAGTGACAAGTTACACATGTTAATGCAAATCTAAGGAAAAAAACTGGACAATATTTACTTTGACTTGGGAGTTTATTAGAAAAAGTACGGGGAAAGGCCAATTAAATAGTAAAGACTGGACGATCGGATCTAAGAAGATAATATCGTCGGATCAAAGATCTTGTTCTTAGTCTCGATAAGCTGTTCATTTTTAACATGGTATTGGCCTTCTCTTTCTGCGGGACAGGTTTTAGTAAATGGCCGGTTTGAACCCAGAAATATCAATAGTTCGTATTGTATGATCGTCCATGTGAGGGTAGATGAACTGTTGTTGGTGACTGACGTTTCGACAGCCTGAGCGGAAGTCGTCTCCAGAGTCAAGTGAATAGTGTTAGCCAGTCGATTATGTTATAAGTCTAGTCCGTTGAAAGTGATTAGTCAGTTTAGCCGTGATGGCATTGCCTTTAAGACTCGTGTAAAATTCGTCAACAGTCGTTGGTCTGTTCGAGTCAGTTTCGATCCGTGTATTGTTAGTCAAATAAAGTCGGTCTGTTTGAGTTCCGTTTTGTCTTTTGTCCTGAATAAGTCCTTTTAGGTGCCGTTAGTTGTTGCCTTTAAAAAAATATAATTTGTAATGTTTTTGCGATTTACCCTAGATGAAACATACCGATTTTTTTATCCTTGTATATTCTACTTGCCATACACTAAAGTATTCGCTTTTCATATCACCTGGTTCGCGCAAAATTCATGTTTCACCGATTTTCGATTTTTATTCTTTATCTTTCCATGGAAATATCGATTGCCTTAAGAAATATATATTACACCAAACTTTAACCCATTTCCAAATACTGGAATAATTTTTATATCGCTCCGATCAGGGAAAACTGTTTAAAGCTTATTGAAAATGCTTGGTATGGCCCAGAAAATGTATCGAGACACCTTAAAAAGCACCAAAACAGTGAATCACAGAACAAAAAAGCACAATTAAAATTTAGTTTCTTCGTAGAAAATCGGCCTCCAAAAGACCAAATGTTTTACCCAACTTGATCGTATTTGCCAACAAAGAGATTAATTAAAGAATCTGACCAACTAACCTGGTAATGGAACTTCCGTAGTTTTTCATCTTCATATATCTTGATGTTAGTTACAAGAAGTGATGCTGGTTCACAATAATATCTAGCTTATTTTCGCACGGAAAGAATTAACTTCCGTAAGCCCAAGCTCTTACCAATTTATTTGCCTTCAAAAAGCTTCGAACAGCCCAAAGTGTTGATTTTGTTATCTTCAGAATAGAAGGAAAGTGCAGGAAATGTGATAAACATAAACTGAAATAGACCTCGCCGAGGTTGGCGTCAGCGGCTAAAATAAAACACACAACTTGAGTAGTCTGGGTATTTGATTGGGGCAGTACAATCCAGGACATGATATCATATCACTTTCTTCGCGGTATGAAATTTTCTTAAGACTTTATCACACTGATATTTCTCACGCTTAATAAGTTCTGATCGGTTTGCTTTCATCATTAATTTATTTGCTGTTTGTGATTGGCTCTTTGATTTCTTAGGTTCTGATTAGGACTTGATTCTATGGACATGCTAACTAAATCGTTTTCATTGACAGGTGACAGACTTTGACATTGGGGCAAAGGTTCTTTGCAAACCTGAACAGATCCATTGGAATAATACAGTGGGAAAGAGACCGAAATGTTTTGACTGTCCGGACTGTCTCCCAGGGACAGAGCCCTCAGTCCCGTGTGGGAGCTCAGTAAACGACTGGCCAGACATTCACTGTGTTTCGTGCAAACTTGGCAAAACGTATTCTGACAAATATGACACATCGCATTGCAAGGCATGTACAATATGTTCTAAAGGAAGAGCAGTTAAAAATAGCTGCACCTTAACTACAGATACTAAATGTGACAGCAAATGTGGGCCCGGATTTTATACTGTTCGTTTGATATCTGGCTGTTTCCCTTGCACGCAATGTTGCGACGATGGAAAGGATGAGTTTGCAGCGGAATGTGCGAATAACAAGAAGAAGTGTAAAGTGCGGCC